TTATTCCCACTGTTATATTTAACAGGGATCACTTTTCAGTTAAATTTAAACACCTAAGAATAATTTTGTGTTAATTACAGAGTTCAACCAATAGTATTAAGTAGAACAAAAAAGAATACTAAAAGGGATAAAGTATTAAGTTGTTCATCAACAGTCAGGACACGGGCTGTACCTGGATTTTTCTACTGTTTCAACATATAAATTTCATTCCATACTAGGGAGCTAATCAGAAAAATAGGAGTGAGAAAAGAGAGACATAGGAAATTAAGTTGATAGGGTTTGTGGTTACTTCGATGGTTAAGGTGAGGGACCTTGGTGGAGTCTCAACTTTTTCTTTGGAACTGCTGGGTAGCATCCTTTACTATGAGAAATGGCAGGTAGTGTTCAGAAGAAGATAAATTTGGTCTTAGATACCAAATTTGAGTATTTTGCATAATTTGATTTGAGGTGTATATGTATTATACTGAAATTCAGGCTAGAAGCCTATGGTAACAGTACAGATTTGTGGTCATCCACTTGAGGTGGGAGTTTTAACATGCATTTGGATGGTTCGGCTTGGGAGGGAACTCCAAAGGTCATTGACATTTGGAGTGTACTGATAAAGAGGGAATTGAGAAAGTATGGCTAGAAATTGTATGGGAATGGAAGAGATAGATGACATGAAAGTCAAGAAAAGGAATATTTGATAGTGTTATATGGTATGGGGAAAGGATGTAAGGTAAGAAATGGAAAGTTCTTTTAGGAAGCAGCAAGTAAGTTTATTGGTCATATTGGAGGAAGCTGTTTCAGCAGAGAGATAATATTAGAAATAATTAGAACTAGGGAGTAAATGATAGGTTAAGAAATGTTGAGTGAGAGTATGTTTTGGTGGTATGTGTGAGCTGAGGAAAGCTCAGGTGTGTCATTTGCCAATTTGTCAATCTTAAGAATGGTTTCATGTATAGTTAGACTCTAGATATCATATATTATATAATTATACATAATTATAATTACATTGTATGTTGCATAATTATTACATATATAATAAACCATTTATATTATAAGCATAATATATGATTATATATTAAGCAGGATGAAATAATCATATTATATATCAAGCCCCTATTTATGTATAATTATATATAATTGTACCTATTATATATAGTGGGTATGTTTTCTAGTACATATTTCATAATTCAGATAATACATAGATGTAAATAGATAAATGTGTTTTATCTGAGCTGTAGTTTTCTGCATTCCAGTTTTTGCTGATTGCATTCTCATGGTGCATTGTACCATGTTTCTTTGTTCAAAGGTAGAGGAATCAGATTCAGAGTTGTTTTTTTTTTAAGATTTTATTTATTTATTTGACAGGTAGAGTTACAGACAGTGAGAGAGAGAGAGACAGAGAGAAAGGTCTTCCTACCATTGGTCCACTCCCCAAATGGCTGCAATGGCCGGAGCTGTGTCGATCTGAAACTAGGAGCCAGGAGCTTCTTCCTGCTCTCCCATGCTGGCGCAGGGGCCCAAGGACTTGGGCCATCTTCTACTGCTACCCCAGGCCACAGCTGAGAGCTGGACTGGAAGAGGGGCAACCAGGACTAGAACCGACACCCATATGGGATGCCGGCGCCGCCACAGGTGGATGATTAACATAGTGTGCCATGGCGCCGGCCCCTGTTTGTTATTGTTTAAGACTATAGAGACTGTTGTATTAATTCATCAAGAGGCTCATGATATATATGTATATGTATATGGAAAGAAAAGTGATCCCAGTAGCTATTGATGGTTGATGGTTGAATTCATTCATTAGGAATTGTGGAAATAATTATCTTTCTAAGTCTATAGTTTTTTTCTTCATTCATTACCTGGAATTTTTCATAAAAGGAAACTCCTTTTCACCTTATAGTTGGTTATTCAGTGATAGAGTTTATATAGGAAAAGTGGGAAAGATGTGTGAGTCTTCATCCTTTCCTTCTATTTACCAGTTTCTAAAGGTATTATTGTGAATTCATAGATTTCAACATATTCAATGCATTTCAGTGTGTTGCAGACATTGTCCTTACTGAAGTTTAATTTATACTATTTTTGGCCGGTAAGAATCTCATCAAATTGGCATTGTGTAAAATTTTAAAATTGTTTTTGATTATGGCATGAAATTACAGAATACTATTTTCTTTTAGAGTAATAAATAAATTTATATATGAGACTTTTTTTTTTTTTTTTGACAGGCAGAGTTAGACAGTGAGAGAGAGAGACAGAGAGAAAGGTCTTCCTTCTGTTGGTTAACATCCCAGATGGCCGCTACGGCTGGCTTGCTGTGCCGATCCAAAGCCAGGAGCCAGGTGCCTCCTCCTGGTCTCCTGTGCGTGGGGGAGCACTTGGGCCATCCTCCACTGCCTTCCCGGGGCACAGCAAAGAGCTGAACTGGAAGAGGAGCAACCGGGACAGAATCCATTGCCCCAACTAGGACTAGAACACAGGATACTGGTGCCGCAGGCGGAGGATTAGCCAAATGAGCCATGGCGCAGCCATGAGACATCATTTTTATATTGTCTCCCTTCTTCCTAATTTAACAATTTTAGTAGAAATAGCAGTAAGTAGAACTGTTCAGATATTTGTGTTACAAAGTTTCCTAACCCCTACCTTTATCCCGTTGTTCCTGAGGTAAAAATATAAACTTAAGAAAATCAAATTGCAAGCATATATCTTTTGGGCCTATATATTCTGTAATTTGAAATAAAATGAAGTGTAATAAACAGTCTTATTATATATTTTGAAGCTATACCTATATTTCTCTATCTTTGAATTTCAGTTAGATAATTAATTCAAATATTTCAGTAATGCTTCTTTTACCTCTCTTTCTACCCTTACATCAGAGAGATATCATTGTACATTGAAAATGGGATGATTTCTTAGGTTGGATTACATGGGGTGGATTGGGTTTTAGTTGAGTTATTTTTAGCTGCATTTGAATGGTCATAACTTCTTTAGACTCAGGAGAAATAAGGGTATTCTGGACAGCAACATTAGGTAAAATTGATACTGACGAGGAGGCAACTGAGTAGATCTCAAAGTGAAGGACAAATGGAACATTCTGGCCTTAGCTCAAGAATCTTTGATTCTAAGACTTTGCTATTAGATGACTCAGCTATAATTATTTTTCTTCACTATGGGTCATAGTTTTTTCGATTTGCTAGGAGAAATGAACAGTTAAGCCCGGCCCTGCCCAGTCTGCTCTGCCAAGAGGATAAGGTAGGCAGCAAAGCTGTGGCATTGGGACATTGTGTAAGTTGGGCTGCCATCACTGTTGTGTCTGCTTTGGTATGTAACATTCCCTATACCTTGTTTTCTCTTAAAAAACATTTTTCTATAACTAAATATAAAATTCTTGAGAATAGAGCTCTAGTATTTGCAGTGGTACATGCATTGTCCAACATGAGCTTTCATTACAAATGTGATTAAATCGTACTGTACCTTAGCGTACATTAAAAGCTAGTCAAACAAAAACTTATAACTTCTAGAAATATAAGCTATTAAAGATTTATCTGATCTAAACATCTACCATTTGCTTTTCCTTATTTTGATGTTTTGAATCGCTAACTCATTTCTTCCTACTGTCCTGAACAGGCCAGTCCTACCCTTCCTGGAGAAGACTGTTTTCATTTGTGTCTGCATACCTTTAAGTTCTAGCTACTTAAATTGCTTCTATTCCATTTCAGAACCCAGAAAGCTACTTTTTGACCCCTGCAGTGATAGCTTGAGTGAAAACGCTTTGTAGTATAGTGTTAGTATACAGCAATGTTTTTCTCTCTGATCTTGGAAAGTAGTAAATTTGATATCTGAATTATGTTGCTGGCTTTTTAAAAATGGAAATGCAGAAATTGAAATAAAATTGAGGAAAGTATGGCAAAAAATGGTGTGATGGTATATAGTTTGCATATTGGTTTTAAAGTGCATATATTTTCCTTTGATAGTTGAGAGCTGTTTCAACAGTTGTTTTTGAGAACTGTTGTTCTCAACTGTGTTTCAAAATAGCAAACATGCTGGTATAGAGTCTGCAAAGATACAAATTGGATTATATACCATTTTTTAAAATTCAAAAATTAATTTCCACCTTTCTGTTTTTATCGAGCTCCATAAACACATTAGAAGATTTTGCAGTTTGATTAATTTCACTGTTCAAATGGAGAAACTAACATTTAGGATATTTATTAACTTGTGCCAACGTTGATAGCATTTCTAAGATTATAACTTCTGAGTGTGTCAGACTACGTTGTTCTCAAGTGTTACTTTAATATGGATCTTTACATTTCAGAATGAAGTAATTTAGTTGGATGGATCTTTGTCCTTTAATTCCATTATACATTGTTTTCTTTGTTTAGAAACCTCAAAAAACTTATGTTACTTGCATTTTATTTATTAGGACATAATGTTGATATATTTTCCATTTTATTAATGTATTTTGCAAACTTAATGATTTTAAGTTTCTGTGGTTATTTGCCACGTTTAAAAATGCTTAATGAATTACTGTAATTTCAAAATAATTTCTGCCTCCTTGGCCTTAATATTTCTTTTATTATAATAACATTATTTATTAAAAATTTATTTACTGTAACTGATTATGCAAGTTATATAGATAAATCATGTCTGTATTAGGTAAGTAGAAAACTGAGCTATTTTCCAGAAGTGAAATGTTCTTAAATTCAGTGTTTTGGATAATTTTCAGTGGTTTACAAAGATCAGCTCTTTTGGAGACTTGTCAATTTGTTATGTTGAGGAATTTTCCCTCTGAATTATTTTGGTTTGTAGCCTGTTGGTTTTTGGCTATATGTAATAGCATTTTTAGCTTATTCTAGATTGTGTGGCATTCATTCCTCAATAGAGCAGACTATATAAATAATTTTGGATAATGAGTTTACAATCTTTGATGTGGAATATACAGTTCTTGGATACTTGTTATAAAGCCATAGTCCTGATAACTTTTTCAACAAATCTTTTTTCCCTTTTATTCTTTTCAGGATTTTCCTGTTGAACTGGTCATAATTGGAATAGCTTTACTTCTTCTACAGACTCCAGCAAGTCAGCAGAAGCCAATCCTAACTCTAGGTGAATAAAAATATACTCACTAGAATCCAGTGTAAATATGACACAAATATTGGGAATAGTATTTGAACAATGTTTCATGCCATCCTGTATATTTTGAATTTCAGTACTGGAAATTTTGCTATTGTTATCAAATAGAATTTTTGTTTCCTTGTTCAAATAGGCATTACACATACCTTGTATAAGCTTCCTGATACCATAATTTACCTAGTATCTTGGCTGCTTGTTAGCAGGTTATGTGAATTCTATAGCAGTGATATTTGCAAATAAATTAAAGGGCATCTCACCTTATTCACAATTGTGCAGCAATATGAGAAGCTATAATATAAAACTCTTGAAAGAAACTGATTAGCAATTATATTTGTTTTATAAACTCTATAACTTTACTATTCATAACTAGAGCTACATTGGATAAAATTATTTTATGTATATCATCTGAGAGATCTTCAAAAAGTTAATAGAAAGTATGTATTAAGAAAAAACTGCATGGACTTAAAATTCTTTATTGCATCAAAGTGTATTTATCTTTTAATTTTGTGTTCCATGGACATTTGACCCTGATATCAATCTAGCTAGAACAAATGAAAGATAATATTCTTTTGATTGTCCAGTATTGATTTAAGGTAAAGTGGGTGAGGAGGCAAAGGGGAAGTAGAATAATGTGTTAAAGAATCATATTGGTTGGCCTTGCAGTGCACACCTTTAAAGTACAGCTTTTACATTGATGTTGCCTTTCTTTACTTGATCCACTATAACCTTTGTAGTAATGGAGGATTCTAAATGATGTTGTACAGTACTACCATACTTTGAGACACTGCTATATCATTTTAGGAAAATGCTTGAGGGGCTGACACTGTGGCGTTAGCAGGTAAAGCCCATATGGGCTCCAGTGTTAGTCCCGGCTGCTCCTTTTCCAATCCAGCATACCTGCTAATGTGCCTGGGAAAGCAGCAGAAGATGACCAAAGTCCTTGAGCCTCTGCACCCATTTCAGAGACCCGGAAGAAGCTCCTGGCTCAGCTCTGGCTGTTGTGGCCATTTGGGGGGTGAACCAGTGAATGGAAGACCTCTCTCTCTGCCTCTGCCTCTCTGCAACTCTGCCTTTCAAATAAGTTAATAAATCTTTTTTTTTTTTTTTAAAGTGCTTGAGATGAACACTTGTGTGTCTCATTCTTATGGGTGCTAGCACCCATCGTGGTTTTTAGAGTGAATTGATCTTTAATTTGCCATCTGCTTTTGAAATGGCTCTTGCACATTGAGGGGTCCTTTGTTCTTTGGACTTTGGTTCCTACCCTGCTTTTGCCTTCTGACTTTGTGCTCATTTGAACTCCTCCCCTCAACCCTTTCTGATCTATTTTTTCCTTTGTCCTGGTACATGAGGCTATAATTTACCAGTGTTGTAACTTCTGACAGACATGGTTTTCTTAGTCTTTGGAGCAACTTTATTGACATATAATTACATACCATAACATTCACCATTTTAAAGTGTTCAATAAAGCATGGTTTAGTAAATTTATAGATTTGTGCAGCCCACACCACAATGCAGTTTTAGAACATTTCCGTCATCCCCCAACATTTATTATATCAGTTTGCAGTTAACTCTCATTCCATCCACAGCCCCAGACAAATGCTAATCGGCTCTCTTTCTATAGACTGACTTTTTCTGGTTTCTTCCTTTTAAAGATATATTTCATTTATTTGAAAGGCAGAGTTACAGAGAGAGAGAAATCTTCCATCAGTGGGTTCAATCCCCAAATGGCCATAACACCCAGGGCTGAACCAGGCTGAAGCCAGGAGCCAGGAGCTTCTGGGTCTCGCACATGGGTGTATGGGCCCAAGTACTTGAAGCCATCTTCTGCTTTCCCAGGCCATCAGTAGGGATGCTGGATTGGAAATATAGCAGCTAGGACTCAAACTGGTGCCCATATGGGATGCCAGCACTGCAGGCCCCGGCTCCGGACATTTATTATGAAATTATTTTGTTTTTTGACAAAAATATTCCAAAGCTGTAGATGAGAGAAACCAGATTTCTAATTCCGAAGTCATATTCCTATATTACGGTTCATATATAATGAAATGCAGGATCTAACACTCAAAGACTTTTTATTTGTTGTATAACAGACTTATTTTTTGTTATAAGCTAGTGTCTCTGATTTGAAGTAACCATATTTAGAGTGAATAAACCATGTTACAAACTATTGAATGAGTAAGTCATGTTGAAAAGTAAGGAAGAATTGTCATTTAGTATATTGGGAAAGAGTATTTAAAGAAATAGGATAACGAAGAGAATATTGATTATTTAAACATTGTGCAGATTAAAAGACTGTTATGCTTGTAATTAGCACTAGCCTTGATTATAAATAGCAACATAAAAATTCCTCGGAGATTTACAATATAGGATACTGAAACATTTGTTCTATATTTATTTCCTGTTTTAGTAAAGATAATGAATTTTTATAGTATATCAGAGGTACTTATGGATTAAAACCAATATTGAAGCAAAAATAACTAAATTAGTAGTGTTAGGTCAATATTAGGGCAAAAACAAGTAAATTAGTAATGTTAGCAAAAGTAACTAAATTAATAGTGTTAGCATAACTGGTGTTTTGCCTTCATGTTATGTTAATGTTTGACTTCCAAATGATTTTTTTTTATTTTTTATTTATTTTTTGACAGGCAGAGTGGACAGTGAGAGAGAGAGACAGAGAGAAAGGTCTTCCTTTGCCGTTGGTTCACCCTCCAATGGCCGCCGTGGCCAGCGCGCTGTGGCCGGCGCACTGCGCTGATCCAATGGCAGGAGCCAGGTACTTCTCCTGGTCTCCCATGGGGTGCAGGGCCCAAGGACTTGGGCCATCCTCCACTGCACTCCCTGGCCACAGCAGAGAGCTGGCCTGGAAGAGGGGCAACCAGGACAGAATCCGGCGCCCCGACCGGGACTAGAACCCAATGTGCCGATGCCGCAAGGCTGAGGATTAGCCTAGTGAGCCGTGGTGTCGGCCCCCAAATGATTTTTTTAAAAAATGTATTTATTTATTTGAAAGGCAGAGTTATAGAGAGAGGGAAAGACAGAGACAGGTCTTCTATCTGCTGGTTTGCCCCCAAATGGCTGCTATGGCCAAGGCTGGACCGATCCAAAGCCAGGAGACAGAAGTTTCTAACTGGTTTCCCACATGGTGCAGAGGCAATCTTCCACTGCTTTCCCAAACCATTAGCAGGGAGCTAAATCAGAAGTGGAGCATCCAGGACTCAAACTGGTGCCCATATGGAAGCTGGCCCAGGCTTAACCTACTATTCCACAGTACTGGCCCCTCCAAATGATTTTAAATGAAATATTAACACCTCATTGACATGATTTATGGCTTGTAGAAATTTTTTTTTTTGTATAATGAAGAAGTCAGTTGGTTACTTAATAATTTATCTTTGAAATCTATGAATAATGTCCTTCAGCTGGTCAGGGTTTGTTCAATAATCTTGATAAAACAACATGACAAAGTTTATTTTTGCTTTAATTCACTCATTCTGTTAGTAGTCTAGGGGAAATTCTGCCCGTGACTAAGTTATTGCCCATGTGTATGTATGTTCCTATTGTCTTAAGTTGAGGTTCCACTCTATAAGAAGAATCAGTTATTAGAAAAGATTTGATTGCATGTGGACTTTGGTACTTTTGTGATTAGATTCTTAGCAATTACAGCAGGAGGGCAGTCCTGCTTCAGCCATATTCAGCTGGGTTCTTGGCCTTGTTACACACTGATTAGGCAGTTTTGGTCCCTTGGCTTTGTTTACTATGAGCAATAATAGTATCTGAGAGAGTATAAAGAAAAAATGTTGACTTGTATTAAAAAAATTCATGTTGACCTAAAATAGAGTTAATTTATATTTCATGATATATGACAGGCATTTTCTCTAAGAGTATCATCAAATTTTCAGTTACATACATTAACAACTTATTTTAGGTGGTAATTATTATCCCTCTTTTCAGTGAGATTTATCATTTAGTTACGTGTCTGACCCAGTTGTAAAGGAGGAAGAAAACTTTGTGGCATATTATTGTTAAGCAAAACTGTATTTTGTTGGACTGTGATATTAATTTTAAAAATGTACATATTTTTATTAATAGCTTTGAAGCTCCTCTCTTTTGCTGAGGATCAGAAAATCCCAAAGTCATCTCTAGTGCTGGTGTTGCCAATTCTGCAGATTTTATCGTCTACTACCTTGGAAGACTGCATATCCCCAGATGAAGAAGGTCCCTCCAGGCAGCAGCTGGCTCTAAGTCTTTTGGAAATGGTACAGCAGGAGTGTTACAGAGATGACCTCCAAAAGGTAATGAGTTCATCCTAGTTTCTCTTAAAATGTCAAGGTGAGATTTATTATCTCTGGAGATAATCTTACCCCCTGATGAAGTATCTTTTTGGGTTTAAACTCTATCATTGAACTTTATTGTTCTGCCAGGTAATGGTGTAGGAGATTTTAAGACATTCTTCTGGACTGTGAGAAAGGACGGTCATCCTGTAGTGAACGAAATTTTGAAAATGCTGTATAATCTTTGTTGTTGAGGTTTCAGTGCACATTAGTAGTCAAAGGTCTTGAGGAATCCTATGGAAAAGAAACTTACTCAGTTTAACTTAGTGATTCTCCAGCATATATGAACATGGGATTCTTTCTGTCTTATGATACTTTTTAATAAATGTAGGATATTGGTAGTTCTAGGACAATGCAAGGCAGGAAATGCTCTTTGAATGTTTCAGAGTTCTGGGATCAGTAAGAACGAGGCCACCCTGTATGCTTGCTTGCCTGCCATCCTACTGGCCTCTTTCCCTCCTGTCCTTCCTTCCAACAGGTGGAGCAAGCAAACTACCATCTACTGGTTCACTCTTTAAATGCACCAAAGCCTGATACTAGGAACCCCATCCAGCTATCCCATATGGAAGGCAGGAAAGTAATCACTTGTGCTATCTTTCATGGCTCCCAGAGTTTGTATTAGCAGGAAGATGGAGGCTGGAGTCATAACCAGGCACTGAACAGAAGCAACATCCTAACTGCCAAGACTGAACACCTGCCCCTTTCATTTTTAATATGACACTTATGTCATATTACCTGGAGTAATAGATCATACAGTTTTCTGTGTATGCCTCTATTACTTCTAATTGAAAGATATCAGATCTGTCACATATGTTTCCTAGCCCTACCTATCTGATTCTGCTTTCCCAATCTCACTTTTGCCATTATAATAATGTAAAAGTATTGTCGATGTTGGGTTAGTGGCCGAGTTTTCGGCTTAGACTGCCAGAGTTTTTCTCTTTTGGTATTTGAGTTTAGCCATTGGTAAATGTAATATTACTTTCTAAGTCCTACCCTTATAAGGATGAAATAAGATTAACTAAGACAAAGCCGGTGACACATCTTAAGTCTCCATGGAGAGAGCAACTACATAAATGCAAGCTAAAGCCATGGTTATTGCTTCATCTGGAAAAGCAGATGCCTTTATTGTATTGTTACGTATTCTAGCAGCAAAAGCATGGTTGTTATTATTTCTTGTTTGAGCATGTAGTAGAAGCTAGCCTATAATTATAGGCAAATTGAATATATATTATAGCTTCCTAATCCTAATTGCTTGACTAAAACTTAATAACATGAACTAGCTAATTTATTTGCATTTGCAGAAGTTCTTGTATCAGCCCTAAAAGCAGTGCCAAATGTGTTTTTAAAAAAAGAATTTTTTAAAAATGTCATCTTGGTTTATTCATATGAACAATGACTGGTTCCTGAATTTGGATGGGGGCAGCGCAGGATGTACTGTTAGAGTTCTGTTCTTTCAAATCACAAGCATTATTTATGGAGGATCACCGCCCCCCCCCAACACACACACACACACACACACACACACTCTAGTACGGAAATACTCAGCTTACTGTTTGCTCAGGTGTGTGTGTGAATGTTATTCAACACTAATAGTTGAACTTTCTCATCAGAAGCTAGTAAAGAGGAAGGAGGAAGGAGGAAGGAATACCATTAGGGCTGTAAACATCCTTCTTATGATAGTGAGCTCCTTTATTGAGGCTTTGAGTTCTCCCATATGCATGCAGAGGCCCAAGCACGTGGGGCTTTCTGTGCTGCTTTTCTAGACACATTAGTAGGGAGCTGGATTGGAAGTAGAGCAACCAGGGCTTGAACTTGTGTCCATATGGGATGCCAGCACTGCAGGCCATGGCTTCCGGCCTCCAGAAGATCTTTTACTGCCTTGATTGATTGCAGAGAATTCTACATAAAAACCACAGATTGGGTTTTCTTTTTATATTTTGTTATTTTTATTTATTTTTTAGATTGATGGCTGAATAACAGTGTTCAAATTAAAACCAAAGTAGTTCTTCAGAAGTGCAGTTCTTTCGGTGTGTGTAAACAAGTGCAAATATCTGTAGCTTGTGATTCAGTAATTAACTTTCCATATGTATAGTACTGATAATCATGACATGAAAGACATTTTAACTTTTTCCAGCTTATAAGAATTAGAACGTGTAAGATAGCAAACCTGTTAATCCATCTCTCTACAATCACAGATTAATATAATTTAATATGCATTTTGTGTTTTTATTTAAAAATAGTGTGTGTGTGTGGGGGGTGGGGATTGTGGGACAGGAGGTTGAGTGGTTGCTTGAGAAGACTGCATCCCATATTGGAGTACCCGGTTTGAGTCCTGGCTACTCTGCACTTCCATTGCAGCTTCCTGCTAATGTGTCCGGAAGGCAGCATGTAGTGGCCCAGATACTTGGCTTCCTGCCACCCACATGGTAGACTCTGATGGAGTCCATAGTTCCTGGCTTTGTCCTGGCCAAACAGGCTTTGCAGACATTTAGGGAGTGAACCAATGGGTAGAACTATCTCTTTCTTGCTTTTGGTCACTGTACCTTTCAAATCAATCAATCAGTCTTAAAATAGTTTGTGGAAAACAGATCCTTTTTCTATTTGGCTATTAAATATGCTATTTAGAACTACCTATTGTGTTTTTTCCAGGTGGAAAAGTATAAACACCGGGCATAAGTTCTAAAGGGCTTGAAAAATCATCCCCTCCCCCTACCCTCCTTCCACCAAAGAATTATGGGGAACAAAAGAAAGCACAGTGTGTGAGTCAGGTCTAGTCAGGTGAGAGAAACCATGCTGGTAATTTGAACAAGGAAAACTAAGCACAAACAATTGTTAACTATACAGTGTGTTTAAATTACTGAAGGATGTAGAAGAGTCTTAAAGGGATATTGCCATGGTAATGATAGGGAGCAGCTTCCACCTCTAGCTTGAGGGAAGAGTTCCCAAGAAAGAAACTTCCAGTGTCCCTGGTCAAGATGGGATTCGTACCTAGGTGGAGAGAATGTGAGTACAGCCTGCTGGGTGATGGGGTACTGCAGGTCAGAGCCAGCCCGCTAGAAGCTGCCTACTGGAGTTTCTCACATGCCCTTGGCAGCTGTGGTAGGAGAAATGAAAGAAGCATCCATGAACCTGAAGAGAAACCTCTTTCTGTTTCTTGAGGCATTTCTTTTGCGCCCTCTATTGACATGATCTAACATTGCACCAGTGGGTCAAGGAGAAACATTAGCAAAATGCAGGTGCAGGAGGACAAAGCCAGGCAAAGGAAGGTGGATGTGGAGCTGAGAATGAGCACACAGAGCAACTGGTGCAACCAATAAAACAAAACGAGAAAAGATTTTTGAGAGGGAAGTCAGGGTAGGTTTTTGAGATGAAGTATGAAAATAGAGCCAAATTCCTGCCATGGTATAAGAGGGCAAAATCTACCTCTGTGAAGTTGTTTCAGTGTAACGGAAGGATTTAGAATTAGCCTGACTGAGCAAGGGTCTACCATATGTTTATTCATGTGTCTGTGTGTGTTTACATTAAGCATGGTACTTTTGGGTCTCTGGGAATAAAGTAATATTAAGTAAGTTTTATTTAGAGTTACTTAAAAGTAAGCAGAAAATATTTTGAATATTTGTCTCTTACAAATCATAACATTTTCAAGGCATTCTCATTCTACTATTTGTAGTCAAAGTTAACATTTTAGCATGTGTTGACATGTTTTAACATGTTTAGCAGGAGTTGTTATGTGATTCAATTCATATTTCTCACAATAACTGAAATAGGTGGTTGTCATTGTTATCTTGTTTTGTGATTTCTAGCTGGGTGATCTTAGTATACTGTTTGAACCTCTCTGGCCCTAGGCAAAATGGGTAACAAGGCACCTGCATTATGAAGTTTTTTATTAAGCACTTGATATGTGCAGACTGTATATTAAGTGCCTGAGTAAATATTAACTCATTTTTTTTTACCCCAAACTCTTTGAGGTGGGTAATATTGATCTCATTTTGCCTAAGAGGTAACTGAAGTATAGAGAAGTTAAATAATTTGCTAAGGGTCATGGCTTGGGAGCATAATTTTTTTTTAAATAGCTTTATTGAAAAGTAATTCACACAATACACTTTACTCATTTAAAGGGTATAATTCAATGGCTTTTGGTGTGTTCACTAAAAACTCTTTAGCATTATATAGCCCTCATTGCAACCAAACTTAGAATATTTTAATTACTCCCCAAAGAACTGCACCCTTTATTTGTCACAATGCTCCACTCACCTCCCCAAGTTAGACAACTTCTAACTACTTTTTTTCTATGTAGATTTTCTTATTTTTCAACATTTCACATAAATGAAGTATTCAACGTGTGGTTCTCTGTGACTGGCTTATTTTTACTTGGCATGATATTTCCAAGGCTCATTCACGTTGTAGCATGTGTTGAACGCATGTCCATTCTATGGATATATCACATTTATTTTTCCATTCACCTGTTCATGAACTTCTGAAATTATTTCTGATTTTTGGCTGTTATGAATAATTCTGCTATGTATATTCAAGTATAAGATTTTTTGTTGATGTACATTTTCATTTCTGTTGGATGCTTGTTCACAGGAGTAGAACTTTTAAGGGTTACCATTTTTTTTTCTCCTTTTTTTTTTTTTCCTCAGCTCACTTTGGTTAAGTCTGTTTTAGTCGCTATATAGATGAATGTTATTATTTATAGTTAATGAAAATCTATATTATTCACTTGTATTCACTTCTTTAGTACTATCATATGCTCATTTTACTTTAATACTTAATATACCTAAGCATTGTTATTAAAAAGCTTTTCAAAATAAATTCTCATCTCTTTTACATTTGTAAAATATGTTTAACAGGAGCCAGAGCTGTGGTGTAGTGGGTAAAGCCTGTGGTACCTGCATCTCATGTGGTCTCTGGTTTGAGTACAAGCTACTCCAATCCAGCTCCCTGCTAATGTGCCTGGGAAAGCAGTGGAAGATGGCCCAAGCCCTTGGGCCTCCTACACCCATGTGGGAATTCTGGAAGAAGCTCCTGGCTCCTGGCTTCAGCTTGGCCCAGCCCTGGACATTGTTGTCATTTGGGGAGTGAACCCAGAGGATGGAAGATCTCATTCTCTTTCTCTCTGACTCTCCCTTTCTCTATACCTCTACCTTTCAAATAAATAAAGAAATCCTAAAAAAAGAGATGTTTTACAGCCATTTAATAATCATTTCAAAGTTGTTTTTTTTCTTTAAAGATTTTATTTATTTATTTGTGTGTGTGTGTGTGTGTGGGAGGGGATTCCATCCACTGGTTTCACTCCTTCCACAACAACTGGAGTTGAGTGGAAGGAATCTAATCACTTGAGCCTATATCACTGCCTCCCAGGGTCTTCATTAGCAGGAAGCTTGAGTCAGGAGCAGAGCTGAAAATCAAACCCAGGCACCCTGGTATTAAATGTGGGCTTCTTAACTGTCAACTTAACCACTGGTCCAAAACCTACCCCTAAAAGTTATTTTTCTGTGATTCATATTCCTTTATCTTTTTTACACAGATATAAGTAATATAATATAATCTTTATTTCTGAACACCTACTTTATCCCCTAAAAGACAAAGTCTGCTAACATTGTCATAGGCCCTTCCTCAGTCTCTGGGGCCAGGATCTGGTAGTTGGTGCCAAGAGAATATGTTTGATTACATCCTGATCTTGGCATTGTGGCAGTTGCAGCTGTCACTCATCGGGTCCATTTTGTGACATCTTATTCAGTGTTGGGCCTTTCTTTTGCTGCTGTAATCTCAGGCAAATAAACAAAAAGCAGAATCTAAACATGGACATAATACTAAAAGTTATCTGGGATTGTTTTTTTTTTCATTGTTTACTCATACAAGTCTGTAATTTTGTGCTTTTCACTCAATTTTGCTTCATAGTGACTTCCAAATTGTTTTCTTTTATACTCATACCTACCAGTTTTACTTTTCTCTCCTTAGGATAACAGTGATCAGATGCATATTTTCTTTTTATTTCAACTTCAGACCTGTGCTAGGTGCTTCATTAGATGTTTTCTGATATCCATCTTAGTTACCTGGCAGGAAAATAGTCATTTAGTTTTACAAATTAGGAAAATAAGGCATAGACAGAATGCATTATGGCTAATAACTGGCATGGCTGTGCTAACTCCTGGTGTTTTAAATCTTAAGTTCAATACTATTTCTTATTAGTCTACAGAGTCCATGCATTTATTTATTTATTTATTTATTTATTTTGACAGGCAGAGTTAGTGAGAGAGAGAGACAGAGAGAAAGGTTTTCCTTCCGTTGGTTCATGCCCCAAATGGCCGCTACGGCCAGCGTGCTGTGCCAATCCAAAGCCAGGAGCCAGGTGCTTCCTCCTGGTCTCCCATGTGGGTGCAGGGCGCAAGCACTTGGGCCATCCTCCACTGCCTTCCCGGGGCCACAGCAGAAAGCTGGACTGGAAGAGGAGCAATTGGGGCTAGAACCCCTGGTGCCAGCGCTGCAGGTGGAGGATTAGCCTAGTGAGCTGAGGCGCCAGTTGAACCCATGCGTTTAAAGAATTTCATCAGGGTTCGGTGCTGTGGCGCAGTGAGTTAAAGCCCTGGCCTGCAGCGCCAGCATCCCACATGGGCACTTGTTTTAGTCCCTGCTGCTTCATTTCTGATCCAGCTCCCTGCTCATGTGCCTGGGAAAGGAGCGGAGGATGGCCCAAGTGCTTGGGCCCCTGCTGCCTTGTGGGAGACCTGGTAGAAGCTCCTGGATCCTGGCTTTGGTCTGGACCAGCCCTGGTTGTTGTAGCCATATGCGGAGTGAACCAGCAGATGGAAGACCTCTCTGTCTCTACCTCTCTTTGTAACTCTGCCCTTCAAATAAATGAAATAAAACTTTTTTCAAAAAAGTAATTCCAAAATAACAAAAGGAATTTCATCATCTTGGGGAAAAATGTATTTTTATATATAGGGCTATATAAATATGGATATTATTTAATTAAAACATGTTTTAAAAGTTTGAAATGAAAAGAGAGAGAGAAAGAGAGAATGCTTCCATTCACTCACTCCCCAAATGCCTGTAGTAACCAGGCCTGGATCAGACCAAAACTAGGATCTAGTGTCTTATGTGGCTGGATCCCAGTTACTTGAGAGAGATTATTTAAGCTTTTAAATTTATATATTTTTTGGAAATAGTCATTCATTGAAATGGTTCAGCAAGTAAGAAGTGGTATACTTTTAGAAGCTTCCTTTTTGCCATTGATTCCAGTTGTCCAATTTTGGCCCTCTTAAATAGAAAATGATGTTTGGTGCTTACTTGTTTCTTCTGTATTTGTCCATATACTTTTCTTCGTTTATATGAGCAAATATAAACTTTTGTTTTTTTTATCCCTACCCTCTAAAAAAATGATAGCTTTGTAGACATACTATCTGATCTTGTATTTCCACTTAGGAGATTTTTTTCTTGCAATTATTACACATAGAGTTTTTTATTTGTTTCTATACTGGCATTTAATTTTTGAATAAATTTCATATCCACTCCTAAGCATATAGTCAAGAAAACTGAAGTCTTATATTTCTCACAAAGCTTTTACAGGGATCTTAATAGCAGAATTGCTATTCATAGTGTCCCCAAAGAAGAGATATCCCAAATGCCCACCAATTGATGAGTGGATAAACAGCATATGGTGTATCTATACAATGGAATGTTATCTTGCAGGATAAAGAGTGAAGCATTGATGCTAGCTACAACATGGGAACAGGCCAAGTAAAAGAAGCTGTTCATAAAAGTTGACTCTTGTTTGGTTCTTATTGAGTGAAATGGCCAGAATAGAAAGAGAAAATAGATGAATGATTTCCAAAGACAGTTGGGAGTATGACAGGTGGTGGTAAGGCTGGTGAGGAGTTAGTATTATTGGGTTTTATGGGGTTTCCCCTTGTGGTGATGAAAATGTTCTAGTATTAGATATTGATGATGATTACACAACTCTCTGAATTACTAAACTGAGTTGTAAGGTTTAAAAAGCTACGTATTATATGAATTGTATCTCAAAACTATTATTAAAAATTTTTGTAAAGCTTAACTTTTATTTCCTTTCCTTTCAGTTGTTATTGTCATCCTTGTAAATCATACTTCAATAACTGGATAATTACAATCTAGAGAGTTCTATTTCATCTCATCTCCTCTACCTGATTTGAATGAATGTATTACCAGGCAATGTCTATAGTGTCTCTGGCCTCTCCTGAGCCATTTATGCATGCAACATAATGCAGGGCTCTGTGCATTCTCTGACCCTGACTTTGCTGCTTTCTTTCTGTGAGGAGGTATTTCTCAGATTGATTTCAGCATAACATTTTCACTGGGTATTGTTTTAGTGTAGAGCTGTCAAACCATTTCTTATTGTGGAACTTATTCATAGTTATTAATGAAATCCCAGGCTATAGCTGAATCAACTCTGTACCTATCAACGTACTAAATGTTATAAAAATGAATTGTTCTTAGTCCAAGTCTGCCATCTGCCCTGGGCTTCCTCTTATGAGGGCCTGGAGATGGGTAAATACAGTGGTTATTCTATCTTCCTTATCTTTGGTAAATACTTCGTTGAGTTAATGGATTTTTCTAAACTCTGTTGCCTGTGGATCATGTATATTGAACAATTTTTTTTTCTGCCTTAACTAGAAATGAATAGTAAGTATGAAGAAAAGTTGTCAGAAGCTGTTCTAGAGTTCCACTAGCAACTGTTTTCTCTGTGCAATCCTGTTATCTCAGGATTAGTATCCATTTGTTGGAAGGAAGGACTTCTTATAATAAAATATGATAATTACATCTGATAAATATATTTTATCTCATCTAATCATACCTGTTTTGTATTCATTTTCAGCCTTCCCATAGGCTTGTGTTCCCTATAACCAGCATGTATGGCTCAATATTTACAACCTGGAGAATTCTTGAAGTAATGAGAGAAGAGTCTGCCACAAATGACTGGTTGGCTTCAGTGGGGTCATTGCTCCCTATTACTACAGTGATCCCTGTGCCTGTTTTTCTTTTGCTGGCTCACCTCCTTATTGAAGATAAAGGACAAAATCTTCACAAAATACTGAAGGTCACCACAGAATTAGCCCAAGCAGACTCCTCACAGGTGAGAAAATAATAGAATAATAATGGTAGGAGAGCTTCATGATTGGAATTGCAGATTATTCTTATTTTGTAAATTATTTTATCAAAACTTCTAAATTATGGGTTTACTTTTTTTTCCTGTCATAGTTGTCTTTATCCTCCCAATTTGTTCTTCTTTCTCCTTACTCTGAGTTGATATATACTTACGGATGACATTTCTTTAATGAAAGCACATTTTTCAAGGAAATCTACACAGAGTGCTATTCTGAGTCTCCAGTTTTGTGTGTATTTGCTAACTTATAATGCTTTTGCTCACTCTTGCAAACTGTTCCAAAATGTTTGCAGGCCCTTCAGAAAGTATGTGAAAAATTGAACTTAAGAGGCAAGTTTATTTTGGTGCAAAAAATTTTGAAATCCATGCTTAGTAGATATTTTCTGTGAAAATTCAGAAGATCCCTCATTTTAGTTCTAATGTTGAGTTTTTAAGATTTATTTATGGCCGGCGCCGCGGCTCACTAGGCTAATCCTCTGCCTTGTGGTGCCGGCACACTGGGTTCTAGTCCCGGTTGGGGTGCTGGATTCTGTCCCGGTTGTCCCTCTTCCAGGCCAGCTCTCTGCTGTGGCCAGGGAGTGCAGTGGAGGATGGCCCAGGTGCTTGGGCCCTGCACCCCATGGGAGACCAGGAGAAGTACCTGGCTTCTGCCATCAGATCAGCGCGGTGCACTGGCCGCAGCGCGCCGGCCACGGCGGCCATTGGAGGGTGAACCAATGGCAAAGGAAGACCTTTCTCTCTGTCTCTCTCTCTCTCACTGTCCACTCTGCCTGTCAAATAAATAAATAAATAAATAAATCTTTTTATTTATTTATTTATTCGAAAGAGATACAGAGAGAGAAGGCAAAATGGCTGCAATAGCCAGGCCTGGCTGATCTGAAGCCAGGAGCCAAGAGCTTCTCCTGGATCTCCCATGTGGGTGTTAGGGCCCAAGGGCTTGGGCAATCCTCTGTTGCTTTCCCAGGTACATTAGCAGGGAGCTGGATTGGAAGTGGAGCAACCCGGACTGGAATGGGCACCCATAAGGGATACTGACACTGCAAGCGGAGGCTTAACCTTCTACACCACAGTGCCGGCCCCTTTAATGTTAATCGTAGAAGGTAGACTTAGATTAATCAATTCAAAATAAAGTGTCAATACAATAGTCATTAATATTGTCTTAAGTTCTTGCAATCTGATCTTATTTTTATTCAGTCATTTAATAAACTAGAAAAAGTTGTGTCCTTGATGTGTGTGGTACTGATCTGCATGCTGGGATATGAGGGCAAACAATTTTTCTTGTTAGCTGACAGAACTTAGAATGAAATGAAAAAACAATTGGCCTTTAATGAAACATTTCCCCCCACCTATTAAACCAGACACATATTTAGCATAGTAATCCATGCTTTTTACCCCCATTGGATGGACTCTCTAGAAGGGAAGAGTTTTTTTGCTAAGTAGCTATGACACTTTCATTATTCATGGTATATCAGCATCTGTGCTTGTATTCTTTTCAAGCATTGTAAGAAAAATGTTCATCTCTTAATTGAGAAAGTATGTGTTCCTAGGGAAAAAAGTCTGGTGCTAGAGGTAGGATAAACATGTCATGTTTTTTGCCAAGTAAACAACTGCTGATAGCTCTCACAAGTTTTCACTCTGGTCATACTTCTATTCTAATTCTGCAAGTAGATCAGTAATGGACTCAGAGTAACTTTATTTCATGGTATATGCATAATATGAGTTATTTGAACTTGCTTCCTACTTTATTTCTCCTTTTACTTTCTATAATAATTCTACTTACACCCAATGCTTTTGTTCATAATAGATACATTGTAGGGTAATATCTTTAGAATAATGAATTCACCATAATGCTTACAGATTACTTTAAGATGGATCACTGAGGTCATACAGTGGGTTACCTTGATTTGTGTAACCCACCTATGTGAAACATCTGTTTCTACACACTCACACACACATACTCAATACATGAATTTAGTGTTTGGAATTCTAGGGTGATACTTTTGGGTTATAAGTAATAGAAACTCATCTTAAGTTGCCTTAAACAGTTTTTATTAACTCTAGTATTCAGCCCAATCATGGTGTAGATGGTGTATTTAAAGTACATTTTGTTTCTTTCCTCTGTGAATTGACTGAAATCTCAAACCCTTGTAGTCACAATCTAAAAGGAAGAGAGAAGTAGAAAATGTTCAAATTGACTTTATTTGAGTCATGATAGGACATTAATTGTCCACCAGCTGGATTGGAAGAGGAACAACCGGGACAGAACTGGCGCCCCAACGGGGACTAGAATCCGCAGTGTCGGCACCGCAGGCGGAGGATTAGCCTAGTGAGCTGCGGCACTGCCCCTTTTACATCTCTTAACAACTGTTTATAAAATCTGTTGTACCTTTCCTTCTTTATTGAACTCTTCAGTAGTTGTTGATATTGGGTATTATATCTTATGGAATAATAGAAGTGTTGGGTGAAGCTATTTTTAATATAGCATGGTGATTCTGTAAAAGCTTTATAGGTTTTATCACATGCTTAGTATTATGTCTTACAAATATATGTAGAGAGAATACCTGACAAAAGATTTTTTTCTGTCTTGGAAATCTAGGCTATTTGTTAGTGGTTCCAAAATCTGAGAAAATGTATTTTCTTATTTTTGGCTATATGGTTGAGTTTATTGCAAGATTAAACATTTGGGTACTGGGAAGGAACATTAAACACAATGGTTATAACTTTTAGATAGGTTGATATATTTGAAAATAAAATGTAAATAATAGTCTAGTATCTCACCTTTGATGAGTACCTCTCAGTACTATGTATAAAGTATATCAGTTTCCTTTCAACTGATTTATAAAAGGGAATATGCTAAAGAGCAAAATCTTACACATTTAACTTTGGAGAACTACAAGTTCCTTCCTTTTATTTACCTCCACCTTCTCCTGCCTCTTGATGAACTTAACCAGTTGAGTTTTATGAAACTATACTTCTTTCAAAACCTTGCTATTAGTTTATGTTTCTGTTTGGTAATGGGGATACAGTCATGTTCATTTGCTTTATTTTGTTTTGTTTTTACTTACATTTTATTTGCTTTTTACATTTTGGTGGTTAAGCCTGGCTGAAGATCTTAGTAAGAAGAATCACAATCTTTGATAATTTTATTTTATCCTTTCTGTTTTCAGGGCTTACTTTTTTTATTTGTAAAAATGTACACATATTTGAGCCATTCAAAATCACTTATGTGGCTGTGTTCATGGCCTATGACTTGCTGGTCTTTTAAAAGTCATATATTATCAAATAGTAAAAGTTGACGTTTAGGGCAGAATCTTGTGATAGTTCTACTCAGAGTCGTAAGACATATTTTAACATGGAAAATGAATAGGAAATGTGTGAAATTTAATGACCTGTAAGTTACTGCTGTGAGAAAAGAAGAAAATATATTCTATAAAGGAACTTGCACAAAGAGTCTTTGGACCCTGCACTGTGCCCTATTGTCACTGAGTTCTATAAATTGCTACCCCCTGAAGTCAGTTTGCTTCCTATGTTCTTCAGAACAGTAAAAAGAAGCCATAATGTATAGTATTTTTAATAAAGAGCCTTATAGATAAGAAGTGCTGCACAACTATTCCCTGGTAGCCATAGCATCGATTATGCCTTGAGAAAAATTGGGATAAGCCTGTCAGCATAAAGCAATTAGACCAGGGGAAACACAGATCAAAATACAGGGTCAAATTGTATTTACCCCTTCCTGTGACTATATGTTTATTTCTTCTTTATAAACCCCACGTGGATATCTGGAGAATAAAATGTTTTTTAACAGACATTTGAACTTTTTTATGTTTTCCTGGCTGTGTGCGCAGACAAGAGCTTATACTAAGGGTAGCAGGTCTACATCAGTTTCCTGCTATTCCTGGTTATTATATTGAACTGACTTATTTATGCTGAGTCTATAGAAGTTACTTAAAATTCTTAATAAATGTATTGTTTGTGATTTTTCTTTTTTTAAAATTCTATTTAAGTTATAAAAATTTCATATATTTCATATATACAGGTTTAGGAACATAGTGAAACTCCCTCCTGCCCATGCTCTAACCTTTCTTCTTCCTGCCTCTACCATTCCCACATTTAATTTTTACAAAGATCTACATTCAGTTTACTTAATGATTGTAAGGTTAACCCTACACTAAGTAAAAGAGTTCAACAAATAGTATGAAGAAAAAAAAACCACTGTTACTCAACAGAAGAGACAAGAACTGTAAACAATCATCTAATCTCAAAATGTCTATTTCACTACATTACATTACATTTTAGGTACTCTAATAGTTACCTCAGATTAGGGAAAACATATGGTGTTTGTCTTTTTTAGGACTAGCTTATTTCATTAAGTTATTATAATGGTTTCTACTTGTATCTATTTTGTTGCAAATGAAAGGATTTCATTTTTTATTATAGCTGAGTAGTACGTCATAGTGTATATATACCATACTTTTTTATCCAGTCAACAGTTGATGGACATCTGGGTTGATTCCCTATCTTGGATGTTGTAAATTGAGCTGCAATAAACATGGGGGTGCAGATAACTTCTTCATATATACTGATTTCTTTTGGTTTGGGTAAATTCACAGGAGTTCAATAATTGAATCAAATGGTAGGTCTATATTCAGCTTTTTGAAGTATCTCCATACTGTCTTTCACAGTGGTTGCACATTAAGGTACCTTTTCCCCCACATCCTTACCAGCATTTGTTGTTTGTTTATTTCTGTATGAGATACATTCTAACTGGGGTGAGATGAAACCTCATTGTGGTTTTGATTTGCATTTCCCTGATGGCTACTGATCCTGAACATTTTTTTAAGTGTTTGTTTGCCATTTGAATTTCCTCTCTTGAAAAATGCCTGTTCAAGTCCTTTGCCAATTTCTTAACTGGATTGTTTGTTTTGTTGTTGTTGAATTTCTTGAGCGCTTTTTTTTTTTTTTTTTTTTTT